AGAGTGATAGTTAGAAACATCGATCAGCTGCCTCCTGCACACTCCCCACTGGGGATGTGCCCGCAACCCAGGTACATGCCCTTGACCGGAATCGAACCTGGGACCTCTCAGTCCGCAGGCCGACGCTCTATCCACTGAGCCAAACCGGTTTCGGCAACACTGATTGTTTTTAATAGTAGTGTTGTTGGATTGATTCTCTGTAGTTAGAGCTCCTAAAGCTGTGAGGAGAAGGATGAAGTGAAGGAAAAAACCATTGCTTGTGTGTTGACTTCATCTCTCTAGGTTTTGGTGTGGCACCTCTTTTTTTTTTCTTTAAATATATTTTATTGATTTTTTTACAGAGAGGAAGGGAGAGGGATAGAGAGCTAGAAACATCGATGAGACAGAAACATCGATCAGCTGCCTCCTGCACACTCCCTACTGGGGATGTGCCCGCAATCAAGGTACATGCCCTTGACTGGAATCGAACCCGGGACCCTTCAGTCTGTAGGCCGACGCTCTATCCACTGAGCCAAACCGGTTAGGGCTGTGGCACCTCTTTTTATAGGTGCATGACATGTGATGGACCTAGTGGAGCCCACAGAGGTGGACCTGGCAAAAATCTATGGAAAAAATATTGTTTTCTAGCCTAATTTTTCTCAAGGATATACTGCTCTGTACTGCCTGTAGCTCGCCAGCCTTGCTTCCCTCCCTCTCCTTTTACTAGTACTATGAATGGGACCCTTGCTGTGTTGTCACAGACCTAGACTCTTAGTTTGTTTCACACAGGTCAGGGCTGGGGGGGAATTGCATTATAGCCATGGGGTGGTGAGCTCAATGAATGGCCAGCTGTGTGTCAGTCTGGCTTGCCAGGGTAGGATTTCTAGGACATATATACTAGCACACACACGTGTATGTACACATACATGTACTCACATACACATGTGCACATGTATATGCACACCCATACCCTATCATTGCCAGTTGATACAATATAGAAGATATACGCTCTCCTTTATTTTCCCTCAACCCAGCCCACCACCAGAATAAGTCTCCAAGGGAACTGAAGCATAAAGATCCTTAGCAGAAGTGGTTTGTACTCCAAGTATGACTTCTCTGCCCATCAGCAGGCCTGAGTCAGACCTGGAAAAGTTAAAGAGCCCAGGCTTCTGCATCCTGAACTTATGCTGGACATAGGGGATAGAGGCTGAGAAGGAGAGGCAGCCCTTCCAAACTCCTGGATCCTTATATGTGGACTCTCCTGTTTGTTTTTAGGGGGTTAAAGGGTGGTTTTGAACTGATTTGTCCCTCGTCCCCTCTTTATGCTGAAGGGGACTGCGGTGTCACTGGCGTTATTTTCCCTCTTGTGTCTGGATACAGGGACACATCCCCTCAGTGCAGTTCCCACCCAAATACGCCAACCTTCATCTTTCCTGCTTCCACCCTCCAATACCTAGATACCAGTTTTCTTTTCTTTTATTTTTTTTTAATATATTTTATTGATTTTTTTTTTTTTTTACAGAGAGGAGGGGGGAGAGAGAGAGAGAGAGAGAGAGTCAGAAACATCGATGAGAGAGAAACATCGATCAGCTGCCTCCTGCACATCTCCCTACTGGGGATGTGCCCGCAACCCAGGTACATGCCCTTGACCGGAATCGACCCCGGGACCCTTCAGTCCACAGGCCGACGCTCTATCCACTGAGCCAAACCGGTATCGGCCCAGTTTTCTTTTAAAAGCTATTTAAGATTTTTTTATGTTGTCATCATAATAGTGAATTCTATATTAAACTAGTAAGGATCACAGTATTAGCTAGTTATGATTGTTTACGTACATATGACTAAAGAATTATGTTTGTGGTTTGTGAAAACCACTACAGGAGAGTATCTAAAAAAAATCTGTTTTGGAGAAACAGATTAAATATGAGCAACAGTAGGGGGCACTTGTATGACACTGGAGCACAGACAAGCATAAGCGTGTCAGGCTTGATTTTCAAACTTTGACTTGCTCCTTGGAAAGTTAATATTTTTCTCTTATGCAATTTTCTTTATGCAAAACTGCTAGTTGGATTTTAAATATAAAATCATATTTGGCATGATCAAGAAGTTGTATTTACTTTTTGTTGATAAAAATGAATTTTCTTCAAGTTTTGTTAAATTTATTTTTTTTCAGGTACTCTTTGCCAAGCAAGAATTACTAGATTATTTCATTCAAGTATGTCAACATATATAAAGCTTTAAAAATTTGTTTGAAAAAAAATCTATTGGAACCCTCAATTTCTGTATCACAGATTAGTGCCACTCTAGACTACGTACTACCTGTCATTCAAGGATCCTGTTGATACTTTTTTTTCTGTACAAAAATTACAAGTGAAAACAAAACAAAAAACAAAACAAAATGAATGTACTTCATATTTATTTGAGTAGAGGTACCAACAAACACTTGAAAAATGGCCAAGAGTGTTGGTTGAACTTTTCCAGTTCATTTTGTAGCTGTTGTTAGGTAAACATAGCCTTCTCTTACTTGAATAATGATGCTGAAGGGTCCTAAAGGCCAAAGCTCCGGAATTTCTGATGAGAGATAGAGATAACAGTATCATTTTCAAATTGGCCCCCGCACAAACATACATAATAGTAGGTATTCCATTTTCCATACCTGCCACATATCTTGCTCTTACTTCAGATTCACAGATAAATTCTTACTAATTTTAACCACCTGTTTTATCATTTACTCCTGCTCCAATTACCAAAGATGCTTATAGAGGGAAAAATAGATTCTCCCCTCCCCCACTCCTCAGCCTTGTTTGCTCTTTGCCTACATTTTAAATGTTACCTCCCAATCTTTAAATTTCAGCTAAAATGAACTAGTGCCTTTCCTAAATATGCCTCGTGTTTTCCTACTTCTCTGCCTTGCTCATGCTGTTCCATCTACCTGGCTTTTCCTTTCAGCTCTACATCTTTTTTTTTTTTTTTAAATATATTTTATTGATTTTTTACAGAGAGGAAGGGAGAGAGATAGAGAGTTAGAAACATCGATGAGAGAGAAACATCGATCAGCTGCCTCCTGCACATCTTCCACTGGGGATGTGCCCGCAACCCAGGTACATGCCCTTGACCGGAATCGAACCTGGGACCTTTCAGTCCGCAGGCCGACGCTCTATCCACCGAGCCAAACCGGTTTCGGCTCAGCTCTACATCTTATTTGTCCCTCTGTATTCACCTTAAATGTCACACTGTGTGCGCACAGCCTTTATGATCCTTCAGGTACAAGTCAGACCATCTTTCTGAACTTACATAATGTTATTGAAAGAAATTCACTTAAAAGTAATAGTAATAACAACTGACAACTAACATTCACACAGCCTTTTACAAAAGTGCTTTGGCATATATTAGCTCCTTTGAGCCTCACGGATTATCGTTCCTGTGTTGCAGCTAAGGAAATGAAGGCTCACAAAAGTTAAGAGACTGGCCTGAGGGTAACACAGCTAGCACTTAATTTAGATCCTATGACCTCATACCCCATGTTCTTTCCACCAAACAATGCTATCTTATGATTCTTACCCATTGCCACTATGTGTTAACAGTTACTCGTGTAAATGTCATATCTGGCTTGCTACTTTGTGTTGTTCTTGAAGGAAGGCTTAATGGCTTGTTCTTTTTTTTTTTTTAATCCTCACCTGAGGATATTTTTCCATTGATTTTTTTAGAGAGAATGGAAGAGAGAGGGAAAGACAGAGAGAAATATTGATGTGACATTGCAGTTGGTTGCCTCCTGAATGGGCCCTGGTCAAGGAGGAGCCTGCAACCAAGGTTTGTGCCCTTGACCAGAATTGAACCTAGGACCCTTCAGTTTGCAGGCCAAAGCTCTATCCACTGAGCCAAACTGGCTAGGGCAGTGCCTTGTTCTTTATGGCCCTGATATTCATAGCATAGAGTATTGCATATAATAAGGCATCAATAAACATGTATTGTAAGTCTGATGATGAGTTGGGGAGGTGTTGATGAATGCATATGCCTAGCATGGTGCCTGGCACATTGATGCCTAATAAAGATTTATTGAATTTAATGGTAAAGTGGACCAAAGACCATCTTCTATACATATAAAAGCATAATATGCAAACTGACCGGATGGTGGAATGACCAGTTGCTATGATGCACACTGACCACCAGGGGGAAGACGCTCAACACAGGAGCTGCCCCCAGCCAACCTTTCGGTCCCTCCCCCCGGCCAGCAGGTTCTGATTGCCCCATGGGAAACCGGAAACGGGGTGGGTGGTGGCGAACGCAGCGGCGCGAGGCCAAGGTGGGTGCGAGCAAGCGGGGCTGGTCGCCCCACACACAGAAGGTGACTGTCGGTGGTGGCAGGGCAGCTGGGGAAGATCAGCCCTGATCGCAGGCCAGGTCTAGGGACCCTACCCATGCATGAATTTCGTGTGCTGGGCCTCTAGTAGTTAATAAGACATGACATTAACTCATTCAGTGCTTCCAACAACTAAAGAGGTAGTTACTGTTTTAATCTCCATTTTACACTTGATGAGACAGGAACAGGAAGGCTAAGTGACTTGCCCAAGGCCACACAGGTGGTAAGTAGCAGAGCTAAGTTTTACACTGACAGGCAGTCAGCTCTAGAATCTGCATGCCCTCTTAACCATTATGCCATAATCAGTTGCTTAGGATATTTTTATACTATTCAGTTCCTTCTAGACTTCTTTCTGTCTTGCGTGTGGCTCAAATAAAGAAAAGAAGCAGCATGGCTTATGAAGGTTCTGTATTGGAGAACAGTGGTTCTCAAACTTTAGCCTGCATCAGAATCACCTGGAGGGCTTGTTAAAACACAGATGGCTGCTGCCTGGGCAGTGTGGCTCAGTGGTTGAGTGTTGACCATATGAACCCAGAGGTCATGGTTTGACTCCCTGTCAAGGCACATGCCCGGGTTTTGGGCTCGATCCCATGTGGGGTATGCAAAAGGCAGGTAATCAGTGATTCTCTCTCATCATTGATGTTTCTGTCTCTCTTATCTCTCTCCCTTTGTCTCTAAAATCAATAAAAAATATTAAACAAAAACAAAAACACAGATTGCTGGGTCAGATCTCCAGGTTCTGATTCAGTAAGTCTGGGGTGGGGCTTGAGAATTGGTATTTTTAACAAGTTCCCAGTAGATGCTGATGCCACTGGTCTCAGACCACTGTGCACTAAGAGCATGGACTCTGGTTAAGCTACCAGGGTTTGAATCTCAGCTTTGCCATTTACTATGAACTTGGACCAGTTCTTTAACCTTTCTGTGCTTCAGCTCTTATCTGTAAAGTGGCTCTGCTGATAGCACCCACATTATAGGATTCTTAATAGAGATTGAATGAAATAATACATGTAAAATGCTTAGAATGGTGCTTAGTAAACATGCAGTATTAGCTACAGTACTGGTGATAAGACATGGTTTTTTTTCTTTGTAGATTTTACAATATAGTTACAAAGACTAGATTTAAATATATAATAAATAAAAAATGGTGTGAAATCAGATATTACTTCATGTAGTTCTGACTCTAAAGTACTTAGAGGTGAATTGTGTGTATGTTGTGGGGCAGGAAGGTAGTAGGGGATGGGGAAGAGGAGAGGTACATGGGAGAAGATAATGCAAAGTTATATAGTCAGAATTTAGAAAGATTGGAGTTGTCAGTGGTTTAGATTTTACAAGAAAATTGGAGGGAGGGATGGAGGGAGAGAGGAGGGAAGAACAGGAGAGGGAGGTAGATGGATAGATATTAAGAAAGAGAGATAACTACTCTTCCCATTCCTTCCTTAGCGCTGGTAGCTGGTCAAAGTGAGTTTACTGTTAGTTTGCTCCTTCTGGGGAACAATGGCTAAGGAAGTAGTTTGTACTGGCGTCTGAAGCTGGGCTCTGCAGCCTCTAGCCTCCACAGCTGACTCACATACTTTTGATTGTTGCTGAGAAAGGCAGTTGTTAGGTTTGGAAGTTTTCAGATTCCAGAGCCAGCTGGACAGCTGGCCCTCCGTTAGCTGTTTCCCAAACTGCCAGCCCCGTGTTGCCTCATCTCCCTGGGCCCCTTCTTTTTGACTTTTAAGCGATACCCTATATTTAGTGAACTAGCAAGTTAGAGGTTGGAGGGGGTTCGAGGGGAGAATCTCTCTCACCATAGAGTTTTGGGTGGATGGAGTATTTGGGCCTAGGAATAAGATGTATCATGTGCAAAAGTTTTAACCCCTTCTTCATCAGGCATGCCTAAATGATAGCTTTCAGTGCTAAGAATGTACCTCTAGCTCATGGGTAAGGAGCAGTGTTTATTTTTGGGTGTCCCGAACAAAATATTTGGGAGAAGGAGTGAGGAGAATTTCAGACAGCTCCATTTATGGTTGAGCAATGCTTGGTATTCTACAGAAGAGACCATATGGACAGTGGGGAAGAGTTTACATTCTGATTGTTCACCTCTTGCTCCCTCCATTCAGGGATTATTAGGGACACCTCATTAGCCATCAGAGTGGGATACGTTTTTCTTGGGGCTCACATGAACCTCAGACCCGCACCCTGGGCGTCATCTGCTCTCCCAGTCTGCTGAATCACCACCTAGGAATGGCAGTAGCCAGGTTGCCGCCTGAGCACCTCAAGTGCTCTTGGCATGGTGCGTTGTTGACTGGTCTTGGTCTCCTAGACACAGCTTGGGCCTCTACTGTTGGAGTGGTAGGCTGGGTCTTAACTCCCCTTCCAGCTTGTTCCACAAGGCGCTGACCTACTTTTTAGAGACAATTAAGTGTTTGTGAGCAAAAGAAGGCGGTGACCCATGTGAAGGTGAAACAGAGCTGCATTAAACAAACATTTGGAGTTACTTTTTTTGTCTCAGTCCATCTCAGTCCAAATGGAATGGCTGGCCAGGCTGATGTGGGGGCCAAATTCCAGATGTTTATCCAGATAACCAACCAACTCGTGAATTCCCATTCCTTCCATCAGTGTACTCCAATATAAGAAATTCCTTTTATAATCATCATACCCTTTGTCATTTGGGTAGTAGGAGAAGGTTTGAAAGGAAGTTGGGCTGCTTAGAGTGAATCAGCACTATAAGCCATGAGCATCCCTCTTGGTGGCAATATTCTGGTTCATTTGTAGCCCCTCTGAGAGGAATCTAATCTCTTTTTCTTCTTGGACAGGCTGGATGGGAGCCCAGATCTTTAGAGAACAAGTGAGTAGCAAGTAGCAAGTCCATGTGGTACAAGGGTTAGATTCAGTTTTTGCAGTGAAAGGAAGTGAACTCACTTTCCCACCTCCTGGATGTCACTGACCTTATTAGCAGACCCCTACCTCTGCTTCCCTGTTGAATGTGATTGTTATGCTGCATTACTGTCCTTACAGTCGTACTTCAGCACTGAGGGAAGGATCCAAGGCCTTGAGAAGGACGACTCTTGTCCTGCATCAGCTGGCACTGGGACCCAGAGGGAATTGCTAAAGTAGCAATTAGGCAGTTTCTTAAAGGTTTATTTTCAGCAACTCCACACACATGACAACTGCAATAATCTCCCAGTCAACAAAAAGAACAGTTACTGCCATCGTGCTCAGACATCCAGATCACACCTTAGAGTTCTGGAAGGAAGCAGCATAGGAGAGAGAACTCAGTCCTGCCATCTTCTCACTGAGATTCCTTCTAACAGCCTGGGAGGCGTCAGCCCCGTTGGAAGAACTAGTTAACAGATCAGGCAGGCATGACTTAGAAGTCAGCATGGCCCCTATTTTGTTCTTGTAGATGGCTAAGTTTCTTTGTTTCTTAGGGAAGAGTATTTGAGGTGACCTAAAATGCTCCCCTCCTGGAAATATGAGTCTCGTCACAACCTCCTTTCGTCCACTACTGTCCTTAATACCCCCGAAGCCTGGGCTCTCTCCTTTCCCAGCCGTCC